AGAAAACCACTCCTTGATCATGGCGCTCCCTGTCGGAATTGTGTGCACTCTGTAACATCTTCGGTTGTGGTAGTCCTGTTTGCCTGATAACTTCGTTACTGTGCTGTGAAAGATTACAGATTTGAATATGTAGTGTACATGCTATTCAGTTGTGAACTGGTGGGCCATACGTAACAGCTGACCAACATGTGAAGATACTGGTACTTGATAGCCTCTTAAGGAAAATTTGCTTCCAAATTTTAAGCTGGAAAGTCACTGGAATAACTTTAAAAAAGAATTACAATACATGGCTTTTTAGAATTTCGTTACATATGTTAAGAGTTGTGTACAAATTGAAATGTCTGTACTGATCCTCAACCAATAAAATCTCAATTATGAAAAAAAAAAAAAAGAGATTGTAGCCCCAACCTCAGCCATACATGTGCTCCTGATCCCCCTTTCCCTGCTCTATTTTGCCTTTATTCCACAGCCTTAGGACCTAATTTACTTCCTTTTTAGGGTTATTATTTATTACCTCCCCATCTCCCACCACAAGCAACCCATGGTCAGGGATCTGTCTTTTTGCTTCACTGCTGTGTTCCAAGCACCTATAATGATACCTAGCACATAGTGGGTGCTCAGTAAATACTGAACGAAAGAATGAACAGATTCTTCCATTCCCCCCTTTCACTTCTCTGTATGCTGGAACTTCATGAGGCTCTATCTGGGAAGCTGGCCAGATGGACATGCTATATTTTCTTAGCTTAGTGACCTGGGAACAAAGAAGGGAAAGCCTTAGAAAGCCAGGAAGCTGCTGGGACATGTTTGGCTGGTCCTGCTTTTAAAAACAAGAACAAACAAACAAAAAACAAAAACAGCCACTCCGATTGGGCTGAGCTCTGATGAGCCCAGCTGTGACCTCTGCACACAGTAACACCTCCCTTATCACCCTCCTGTCTTAAACCCGAGGGGCCCAGCTGAGCTTGTCACCCAACCTGCTTGTGTCACTTAGCCTGCAGCATGCCCCACCTACTGCCCCAACCTGTTTCCTCCCATTCATTCCACCCGCAGCTTCTCTAAACACCTCCCTGCGAGGAGCTGCCTCCCAGTTCCACTCACACTCACAGATCAAAGGAGGTCTGCTTTGATCTGAACTAGCACTGGGTACAGGCAACTGAAACACCCACCCCACGCGCACACACACCCTCTGAGGGTTCTATCACAGGAACTGCTCTGAAGGCAGGTTGATTCCATTCAAATCCTAGCTCCATTCCTAACTAGCTTTGTGAGTGAGGACAAGTCTACTGTGCTCCCAGGGCTTTAATTTCCTCATCTGTAAGGAGGGAAATAATGCTGCCTTTGGGGTTATTGTGAGGATTAAAAGAGATTGTATTTGCAGAGAATCCAGCAGTGCACCCGGCACCCAAGGGTGCTAAATAATGGTCAATAGTCTCACACACCCCTACCTCTTGAGAGTCCAGCATGTGCCAAACACTGTTAATGGTGCTGGTGAGCAGCCAGCCCCATGGTGGGTGGGGGCGGGGGCACTCCTCTTAATGAACAGCATCTAGATGAAGGGCTGCAACGCAGAATGGCTACTGGAATTCAGCCTCTGGGTGGCAAGGAAATAGAGGAGACAATGTGACTTGGGGTTGGGGGAACCCTGGAAGTTATCTTAACTTCTTGCTGAGAAATGAGTGACATTTATCAAGGAGAAATTAACAGCTGGTGTTCTAAAAAGACTTGAGGCTCATTCGCAAAACCCATGGAGCGAGGGAGGGTTTGGGGATTAGGTAACCCTGGGTTCAACTCTCAGTTCCATAGAAAAAGTCTGGAAGGATACATACTTCTCTGCGTAGGACTCGCTTTTCTTCCCAGACCTTTCATCTCCATCCTGTAGGCAATGGGAGTCACAATAGGCTGCCACCTCTGGGCACCTGCACTTCTGGAACCCATGGGCAGTGAGGGCGAATGGCAATTCACCCATGAGTGGCTGCATTTTGAGGGTTTCCTTTTTAGAGGTGCTTTTGTGCTGTGTCTGTGCTCACTGGCACCGCATACTTTTGCTATGCTATAAGCTATGAAACTTCTGACCTCACAGGTAGCTGAGCTAGGTGAGCTCTACCAGAGGAAGACTGACATTTCCAAATGTCTTTTTTGTTTTTTTGTTTTTTTTTTTTTTTTGAGACAGAGTCTTGCCCTGTTGCCCAGTCTGGAGTGCAGTGGCGTGATCTTGGATCACTGCAGCATCTGCCTCCTGGGCTCATGTGATCCTCCCACTTCAACCTCCCCAGTAGCTGGGACTACAAGCATGCACCACCATGCCCAGCTAGTTTTTGTATTTTTTTCTAGAGATGGGGTTTCATCATGTTGCCCAGGCTGGTCTCAAACTCCTGGCCTGAAGTGATCCTCCTGCTTTGGCCGCCCAAAGTGTTGGGATTACAGACAGAGCCACTGCACCTGGCCCCAAATGTCTTTTTAAAACACTGTGTAACAGTCAACACTTTCAAGTGTCTTTGAAACAACAAAAAAAGGAAAACCAGAGCAGCCTATGTGGCTGTAAGCTCCAGGCAAAGTCAGGGAGGCTAAGCTGCCTTTCCCCACATTTGCCTGGCTTCCATACTCTGCTCCTCACTCTCCTTGTGCCCAAGTTCCACATTTAAATCACATATTTATACTGCAGAATGAAGATGGGCAAAATGTTTAAAGTCACATATTTAAATATTCAGTTTTGCATAAAATAGACTATAAAAATAAAGCTTGTGATGTTTCCAATGGATTATCAAAATTCCTTAATCTCCTTCTTTTCTCTAATATTTTATAGGGAAACTGATTTTTATTTTTATTCTTTTGAGACACAGTCTCAGTCTGTTGCCCAGGCTGGAGTGCAGTGGCACGACCACAGCTTACTACAGCCTCTATCTCCTATACTCAAGCAATCCTCCTGCCTGAGCCTCCCGAGTAGCTGGGACTACAGGCACACATCACTGTGCTCAGCTAATTTTAAATTTTTTGTAGAGACAGTCTTGCTATGTTGCCCAGGCTGGTCTCCAACTCCTGGCTTCAAGCAGTCCTCCTGCTTTGGCCTCCCAGAATGCTGGGATTACAAGTGTGAACTACTGTGCCCAGCTGATAAATGCATTTTAAAATTACACAAGTGTTTTTTAAAACATGGCCCTAGAGTCCTTTTGTACCACATTTTGTGTGTGTATGGGTATGTGTCTAATCCCACTTCCTCACTTACCCGTGACCCAGCACAAGGTGCTTAATTCCCTGAGCCTCACCCCTAACACCCATTGGACATTCCTGCCGTAAGAGTCCATTGGGTATCTTCTAGGTCAGGCATTCTTCTAGGCCTTGGGTATGGAGTGAACAAAATGAATGAGGCTTAACCAGGTATGTGGGGAAGCCAGACAATAAATCATGTATCTCCCATCATTTTAAACATTCAGAAGAAAAAGAAAGCAAAGAAGAGGCAGAGTGACCTGCCTTTCGAGCTGCTGTGTGGGTAGTGCTACCTGCCATGCCTGTATACTCCTCTGGTCTCCTCGGCTTACCTCATCATCCCCCACAGTCCCCTGACCACAGGTGGAACACCCCACCCACACTCCTTACATTATTATGTATTTCTCCTTTTTATCTTTTTCAGCAGAAACCCAGGATAGGAATGGCAGGGGACATGGGGAGTGGGAATGGGAGAGGACCTCAGGGACACTTTGTTTTTTGAGACACGATCTTGCTCTGTTGCCCAGGCTGGGGCGCAGTGGCACATCTAGCTCCCCAGCCCCTCTGGTCCTTGACCACCTTGCTTCTAGTGGGCTTGTCCTTCATCTCGCCTCAGCCACTCACTCTCGTGGCCATGCCTTAGGTATGTTATTACCAAGAACTCCATAATCTCAATTTCATGCCTCCCACTCTGACCATCGCCTCATATCTTCCCCATGTACTCCCTCTGGGGCACCAGCTCCAATAATTCTTCAGTCCCTCAAGACTTACTCACCTTCCCCTTTTCCTTCACCTCCCCACTTTCCTTCTCATCTAGTTTAGATGATCTAATCATCATTATAATCACTCATCTCCGTACATCCTCAACTCCTTTGACCCCTCTTCCTTCACTCTGCTCTTCTGGAAAAACACCAGCTTTGATT